ATTTTAATTCAAGATAATTAATGTAGATGAATATGTAAACTTACATGAATTGAATATTCAATTTGACTAAATTTTGGTGCATTATCATTTTCATCTAAAATTTCAATTGCAATTTTTGTACGATTAATTTTTGCTTGTGAAAGTCCATGATCACGTCCTTCGATAATTAATTCATATTTTTCATTTATTTCTCTATCAAGTAATTGTTTAACAATACCATAAATAGCATATTCATTCATTGATAATGGTATTATATCTAATTGAAAATAATCTTCATTATTAAGAAGTTTAAATGATAATTTTCCATTAATTCCTGAATCATAATCAATAGCACGTGTTATAGGAAATCGATGACCTATTTGAATTGATTCTGATAATAAAATATTTGTTTGTATATCAAAAAATTGACATGTATGATCATTAATATCATTTATTGTTATATTAATTGTTGAAAATTTTGGTATTTGATTATAATTTGAAAATAATTCAAGTATAAATGAACAATAATCACATGAACAAATATTTTCTATACACCAATAATCACGATCAATAATTTTTGTTAAAATTAATTTTGTATTATTATTTGTTAAATTAAAATTTGATTGAAAATTATTTATTAATTCATATGAATATGGAAAAGTAAAAATAGGTTTATCAATTGAAGATTTTTCATTAATTATTAATGAATAATCAGATGTTTTAACAGATGATACAAGAAAAAAAAGATAAATTATTGAAATCATCTAAAAAACGGAATTTTTTTTTAATTAGAGAAAAAAAATATTGAAACAAATGATAAGAAGGTAAACTCAAACGTTTCAAATGATATACAGTTAATAGAAATATATAAATAAACTCTTCAAATTAAAGATAAAAAAAACATCTTTTATCTTTCTAATAAAAACAAAATGACTTTTCAATTTAATGTTTATTTAAAATATTGCTTCAGGCTTATTGATTTCCGTATATTGTTTTTTAGTGTTGATAATGTATTTTTGTTTTTGTTTTTTTCGAAAAGACATAATCAACCGCTCACATCTGTTTTATCCATACAAAAAAAAAAATTCGATAGTGCATTTACTCTTTTCTATTCTCTGATGATAAAAATGTCCATTTTGAATGTATCTGTTCTGTGTTAAAACAATATTTACACCTCATATACATATATATATTGTCGGATACAATTCAAAAACTTATCATCTTCATTCTAATTGTTCATAAAAAGAGCCCTATCAAGGATAATGATCGAACGAAGGTATTTCCTAGTGACATCCGGTCTATTCGTTTGTCATATTGTTAACAATATTATCATGACATGAACCTTAAGGTTATAATTATTGAAACATGATATAGAAACAATAAAAAAAAAAGAAGTTAAACTGTCAAAGTAAAAAAAGATAAAGATCAAAATGTAGTTAACTAAATTCTTCCAATAGAATAATCGTCATGTCAATTTAAGGTTTCATGCATTATAACAAACAGTATTCGCGAATCAAGAGAGAGACTAAAATGATTTAAGTCGACATCAAATCATCTATATATGAACAATAAAATAGAAAAAAAAAATAAGATGAGAGACAAATACTTAGTATACCTATGAAGACATAGAACATTCAAGTTCACTTAGCGCTTATGTCAACTGAAATATATTTACTATAGATAAAGAAATATTATTTCTATAAAAAAAAATTTTCTATATTGATTGATCTTTTACTGTTCATATATATTGCTATCTCAATATGAGAATGAGATTGTAAATAGATATTTATATTATCAAATCGAAATATTTAATTTAAATTCAATATTCACACAATAGTTGTTAATTGATATTATCTTTCTAGTTGTTCTGATTTATTTGCATATTTTCAATTGACATTGAACATACGACGTGTGCAATGAATATATATGTATATATATTCAATGTGTATTACTTGAAATTCTAAACGTGCTACCATTATCTAGTACTATTTAGATTGATGGTGCCGATCACAATTGAGTGTCAATTTATGTATTGAGAGATATATTCGATTCAATTTGTGTATGAATCAAATAAAAAAAAAAAAAAGAAAGGTCGTCATATCATCAATAAAACTTACTTTTAATATATAAGATAGTTTTATCTGGCAAATGATATAAATCATTATTTCGTTGAATATGATGAATATACTTAGTTTTATCGTTTATTTCAAAATGTGCGATAATGAGGAGGTTATGAACAATAGACTATTCATTGAAAATGAGCAAGAAAAAAAAGGATGAAGTAGAGCCGTTCATATACTAGTACTATTACTACCAGACAAATATATGTATATAAGTCTTCTTTGAACAGTTCAAGTATCTTTGTTTGTCTTTCTAACTACAAAAATACATAGAAGAAAAAAAAACAAAGAGTTTGTATTTGAATAAAGTAAACTAAACCTTACCTTCTAATAACTGATTAATACCATATCTTGATATTTCTTACCTTATTACGATAATGACGATGATGGAACCGATGTTCATCATTAATATCACTATCCCGTATGTATATATAAACGTAATGTATGCAGAAAAATATGTTTATAAAGCAGGAAGAAGGTTATTTTCTTTTTTTCTTTTTCTCATTCCCTAAATGGATGAAATGACCAATGGGCAATCGAAACCAGATGGTACATGACGAACAAATAATGAAAACAAAAAGAAATGAATGATTACATCATAGGTATACACGCGAGAGAGAGAGAGAGAGTGAGAGAGTTATTTTTGACTCAATTAGAAGCTGTTGGTGTTCTAGTTGTTATTTCAAGGACCCTGCTGATTGTTCATTTCTTTTTAAGCTTCATCTGTACCAGACTATTTATTTTACTATGTCAATCATCGTCTCTTTATCGTTCTAATACGCAAGTAATTAAGCCATACAATATGTTGGTACACCTATTTGTGTATGTAAAAATAAAAAAAGAAACAAAAGAAGAAGCGAACACCAACCTTGAAGATCATTCATACATATATATATATATATTGGCCTTGGGTGTTAATAAAGTATTATACTATGAGAAAGAGTGAATTGTAAAGTGTGAAATTAAGCTGATGCATTAGTTGATTTAAAATTCAGATTTTTTGAATAAGACGATACTTCTTTCCAATCATCAATTGAATTGGCTCATCCACTCAACTATTTAACAAAAATTTGAGTAGATAAATCAATTTTAATTTTTAACAAGTGAAACTGATAGAGAAAACACATCGGATTATCAATTAGAATGTATTCGACAAACATTTATATATAATAGAAACAATCAATATTATTACATATAAGAAAAAAAGTATTTGATTTAAACAAAAAAAAAAAAATAGAAATCTAATATCTTTACTACAGGATAAAAAAGAACAGATCAAAGATGGTAAAATAATTTGTTTTATCTTTTCTCTTCTAGTCAATTTGTAAGACAAAAAAAGAACAGATGCATTGCTTATCTCAGTCGAACTATCGATATTTGGTACTGGATAATATTATATTTTGTTTTTTTTCTCTCTTATTCTCAAGAGAAAAAAATATACTGTGTATATGTGCGTATGTCTAGACTCGATCTGTGATGGACAACCCCTTGCAGTGTTTTCCAATCAAATATAAATACATATCCTGCTGAGTTCAACAAATTATTGATAGCCTTTACTTTCTCGTCAAGGCTTTTGCTATCGATTCAATAATAAAACACTTGTCGAATAACAAAAGACAGAAATAAAGAATGAGAGATAAACCTGTCTTTTTTCACCTGTATTAAAAAAAAAAGAAAAAGAAAACGACTGACATAAATGATAAGATACAAGGTTGCTGGACAAATTATGACATTATTGCTTAACTTTATGGACACTCTCTCTCTCTCTCTCTCTCTTCACACATGATTTAATTGTTCATTGAGTTTCTAATACAATCAAATGTTTGCTTAGAATTTTCTCTTTTAGCACTTTGTATTAAACAATCAAAAAAAAACAATCAAACATTTGCACCTATCCATATTAAAAATATTTGTAGATAGTTCATATCTCTATCATTAATTATTGTTTATTAAAAAAAAAAACAGTTTGAAATTCTATTTGAAGCAATTATCTGTGTAAACAATTATTTCAATTAAACTATTCATCTAATTTAATATGAAATATATATTGAATTGTAGAAAGATGTTTTTTTTATGTCGTTGTCCATCTGTCAAATATGGTTTCTAAGAAATGCATGATTCCATCTATTCAATTGATCCTGCTGCTATGTCTAGAATGTTTTATCACTGTTGAAAATCATGAGAAATATGTATTCCAATCGTAAAATAAATTAACATTTATACATCTATATGCAATGAATATATTTTAAAGGTGAAAGAACTAAAAGAAAAAAACGTATCATGCTATTTACAACTTAAGAGTATCATTGATTCAAAAGTATATGAAGAGATCTGGTTTTATATATACATTACTAACTAAAACAAAAGAATTTAATGATGTATTGGATATGTATAATAATGTATACATGACAATTATTTAAATTATAATGATAAGAAGACAAACGAACAGAAAAAAAAGAATAGTAAATATCTCATTCAATAATCCTATAATTCGATTGCCATTGTTACTTGAATAGAAAATGAAGAATATACGAAAATGAACGAAATCTTCATTTATTTTCTATATAATGTTGAGCAATATAAGACTAATAATATTGGGTAGATATGTTTATTACTAACAATTATTGTTGTTAAGGAATAAGAAGATAAAAAGAAACAGACATTTGATTGTTCAATTATATAACAAAAGATGCCAAATTGATAATTATTTTGACATGATAAACAGTTATGTCGTTGTTTCCGACTGAATTGTTGACATCCTTTTTTTCTTCTTTGCAATTTCGACACATTCCTTTTGAAAATGAATATTACTTGTTTATTCTGATGATGTGTTTCTCTTTGGTATTCTTCTGTTTATCAAACAGTATTATTGGTCATTCTATATTCTTTTTTTTCTGTCATAAGATGTTAGTACACAATTTCTCGGCAAATAAAATTTTATATAATATTTTTAACAATCTGGAAAAAGAAAAAATTGTATAAACTCATTTAAACACAAAAAAAAAATGACTAAAATGTTACAATTATTCTTTCATTGTTGTTTTGAGATTCATGTAGACTCACTGTATTCTATTGCTTTTGAATTATTTTCCAAATACATTTTTTTTATTCATCTGCACGTTCATCATAAATAACAATGATTTATATTTCCTCCACATAAAGTGAAATTTGTAATTGTTTTTTTTTTAATCAGAATCATAGTTTCATGATTTTTGTTGGTGATACCTTTAAGTTATGTGAATTTTTCCCTCATTTAAATTTACCAAAGAAACGCAAATGAGAACAGCTCCATCATTTTGATAGAAAAGTTACAGTTTTATAGTTTTTAACTCATGAAAGAAAAAGATAAATAAAGAGGAAAAAATTTCTCACCTTCTTATCTGTAAATAATTGTATATATCAACATATGAGCATATCTCTACCGTTCTATACAAACGTCACTGAATCTATAATTTTTCTTCAGTTATATCTCAACACTACTATGAAAACAGTACCATACAATTCTTTTTCAATATGTTGTATATTTTCATGTTACTATCATGAAAACTAATATATTCAGTTGTTATAAACTGTGTATAGAGAAGTCTAGCACATAAATAATTTTCTATGAATAGGTTTAGTTGGATTCTCGGATAATTATGAAA